TGACACACCAACATACTGACAATCAATAAGCACATAGATAAAGCCAGGAGACTTCATGAAGCTATCCACATCAGAAGATATCAGCCTGACCTTAACAGAGATGAAGGTGTTCGTTTATCGCATGCATATGATAAACTTATCAACTTGTAATTATTCATATTCATAAATGTATTTAATAAAAAATTTCCAACTTTAAGCATAGTTAGTTATTTGAACAATGTAATTTCTATTAATAAAAGACTCCAATACCAGCAATAGTTATTTATTTAATCTTCAATTAATCTTTTTAATTCATTGACTTTATTTCAATTATTTTACTTAATCAGTCTGTATGCTATTTTAAGAATTATGTACCTCTTATTGTACCTGTTAAAATTTAATGTAATGTATCAATAAACCATTTATCTCTTGTGTGTTCTTAATAATAAGCATTAATGTATATATAGTTTGCCCATCACTTCTTCTCATTATGTGCCTGACGACGACGGGGGAAACACGTCGAAACGTTGCATAAAACTTTAACCAGTGATTGTTGTTCCATAAAGCTGTGTCTATATATCGTACTCACAATTGCTAAATGCCATTCAAAGACTTTCTACAATTTTATTTCGATCGATCTGAAAATTTACGAGTTCATAGATATTTAGATTGCGAACAAAATTCTGTTCTCAAAATTTCTGTATCACTTCCGGTATTGACTTCATTCGCTCTTAAATGTGAAATTGCTACTTCCGATTTTATAGTTGAAAAATTCTTTTAGCAACATGCTAGAATTGTTTATATCAACGATTTGAAATGATAAAATTCGGCACGGAAGTATTAGATCAGCCGCCATCTTGATGTGACTTAATTATCTACAAAAGTACTGCTTGGGATCAGAGTTTAATCGGATTTGTATTAATTTAATGTCTATATATCAATGAACGATTCGATCAATCGTGTGGGATCCGATTTTTGAATTTTGATTTTGCGTTTTAGTTATTTCCGGTTGATTTTTTTCAATATTGTCCCAAAATATTAAAGCTTATATCTCGCGACCTTGACCTTTGGTGACCTTGTGACCAACACAAAAGTTGTTCCCTTAGACGGGATCTATCCATATATGTCTTCATTTTTGTTGTGCAACTTAAGGTTTTACAGCCATTTGAAAATCGCGATTTTTAACTTGAAGAGCTCTGTCACGTGACCCAATTAACACACGACAAAATTTCTTATATATTCTTAAAGTGCATGAGCTCTCCCATCTGGTGATATATCACACTTGATATTTTAATCAAAATTGCGCTTTTGACAAATCAAAAATGTTGTACTGACTTCTGTAGCAACTCTGCGTAAATTGGTTTTTGCAGAATAAACCCAGGTCTCTAAGATAAAACAACGAATATCTCATGATGTAATAAAGGTAGATGCTTGAATTTGTTAACATAATTCAGCATCGTACAGATGATGATGGATATGGCAAAATTTTTGATTATCTAACTATTCAAGAAGAGAATGAAGAGTGTTTAAGTTTTTTGTTCGCACTTCGTCAACTTCATATTCATCATCATGTTCAATTGCTCTTATATATAGTTTAATTTGTTTCGGGTCCCGACTTTCTTATTGCATCTAGAAATTTTGAGTATGCTACTAAATCCTTATAATCGGCAATGCCAACATCCTTCCCATTCATTAAATCTATTAATATAAAGTCTTTGGTATCGATTTTGAATTGTAGTGGATCTGGACTAAATCTTATTCTAAAACCATTAAACAATAACCCCTCATCATCAATGATTGGTGAAATGCTCTTTGGTAAAACTGGGTCAGGGTTTGAAAAAAGACGATTTATATCATCTAATTATAAAAAAACCCACTATATTCAATCGGTTTGGGGGGATCTTTATGGGTGAAGCTTCTATGGGAGGCGCGAGTCTCTTTTTAATATCTTCTTGACTTTTTAATATTGGTTGAAATAGAGTTTGTAGATTTTCTGTTAATCCAAGTTGTTGTAATTTGTTATTTTCAACTTGGGCCTTTGTTTTATTCTTAGCTTTGATATATTCTCTATTTCTTTTTAAAATATTACTCCAATTATCCATTTTAAAAAAATAAAAGTAACATATGTCGATCATAACCTTTTCACCCACAGATTTTCTAGTATTTACAAATACATATCCATGATCATCTGGGTTTCTACATTGAGCTTTACAAACCTTTTTAAATGTATCTCTATCCATTCCGTGATTTATTGACTGAATGATTTGAGATAAATCTTTATCATTTAATTCAAATAATAAAAAACAATTTGCATTTTTTCTAATGAACATAGAATCCATCCCGTAAAAAGATTGGGATTGGTATATGCTGTGACAGTTGTGATGTCTTCCTTTCGTGAAGAATTCTTGTTGAACAGCTTGATGTCTTTGCGCTACGCAGTTGTCAAACAATATTAAGTTCTTTCGAATGCTATCAATATTAGACAAGTCTAGATCATTAACATATTTCGTAAGAAAAACTTTTATATCCGTTGGATTCTTTGATTTAATGAAGTTATCTATATCTTTTATTTCAACTTCTTCTTCGTTTTCTTCGTAATATTGAAATATGTCTTGAACATCTTTCTTTGGTAGATATTCTAAAGCTTTGAGGAATTGATAATACGATTGCTCTGGTGTTGTTGTGTAGATATACAAAGAATCGAAATCTAACAACATGTTAAAAGTGAGATGAGTTTTCCCAGAACCGGAACTACCGCATATACACATGAGCATTAGGTTATTAGGAAATATTTCTGAATGATTAAATTTTTTGCCCATTTTTTATTTTTTTTTGTTTTCCTTCTCCAGTGCGTATGTTTTATAAAAATATTCCATTACCTTTATGTTTGACTTCTCCTTTATCAATACTATCTACTAATTTATTTAATCCTTGTTTAACAGTTTTCTTGGTTTCTTCCCCAAATCGTTTACCAAATTCTCTAACTGTACCTAATATATCTGCCACTCCAAAACCTTTTTTTTGCAAGAGCTAATTTCTTTGCTTCCTTTTCCATTTCTAAATTGTTTCTGCGTTCTTGGGCAGCTGTTACTTCAGCTGCTTTATTTGAGATGACGGTTTTTGTAATTCAAATATCAAAGGTAGGAGAGGTAAAAATCCACCTTCTTTTGCGTTGGCTTCAATTCTTTCTAAATTTATATCGTCTCTGCCTTAATAATACTTGTATTTATCAATAGGTTTTTAGTTATGCTGATTTTTGTACCATTGAAAGTTATTACAGTTGGTGAAGCTGTTTCAATGGCTTCTATTATTTTCATAACTCAAGTTTCTACTTTCATTTTTAAGGGGGTATTTTTTACTCAATAATTATCATTCTTCTATCTGCTATTTTAATTAAATGTTTCTTCGAGCAGTAAACAATACCCGGTTACATCTCCTTGTGTTTTTTCAATATGACTATTTATGTTCACTCGTGTTTTGAAAAGATCGTCTTGGTGAGCTGATAGATCAAAACAGAAGATTGGATGATTAAATGCAAAATCTACATATTCAAACTGAGGTGAATTTCCAAATAATTCACACATATTTTTATAGTTACTATACAATTCATTGTAATCATTTGTGGTTGGATTAATTGTTAAAGGTTGGTTATGATAATTATCGTTGTTTAATCTTACTTGAACTTAATGGATTAAAGGATCTTGAGTTTGGTTCATTGCTACTCTAAAGATATTATTGTCATTTGTCTGAGTTCTTGAAACCATCCATTAAATATCTTACTGGTTTGATAGTGTTAGTGATTGGCCATGTGGTGGATTCTCCAGTTAAAGTCATGCTAGCTACCGTATTACGATGAAGAAAAGCTATTTCAATATCTTTAGTTAATGAGTTGAATATTCTCGTTTCTACTTCAATTGATGTTGTTATTATGGGTATGAAAAGTTGGAGATTCGTTATTTCTAATTTTGCATTTGAAGTATAGTAGTATAAGAGGTTGTAGATAGGGGGCATAATTTATAAAAAAAAAATCACTTTTTGGCGTTAGATTCAGGAGTGGCAGATATATTAGGTACAGTTAAAGAATTTGGAAAACGATTTGGGGAAGAAACCAAGAAAACTGTTAAACAAGGATTAAATAAATTAGTAGATAGTATTGACACAGGAGAAGTCAAACATAAGGGTAATGTAATATTTTAATAAAACATACGCACTGGAGAAGGAATATATCTTTCAAAGTATAAAGGAGATGGAGTGATTTTTGGAACAAAATAAAATAATAAAAAATGGGCAAAAAATTTAATCATTCAGAAATATTTCCTAATAACCCAATGCTCATGTGTATATGCGGTAGTTCCGGTTCTGGGTAAACTAATCTCACTTTTAACATGTTGACAAGAAAATTATAAAAACTGCCCCCTATCTACAACCTCTTATACTACTCTCTTTGACTGCGGCGCCCGCAAGCCCACCAAACAAACAACTCCACCAGCACGCGATTAATAAACCCGGGGCCTATAGGGGTACCAGTTTACCAACCCCCAAGCGCCCCAGGCCAATAATATCTTTAAATTAATTCATTTAAAAACAGAATGAGTTTAATTTTAAAACACGAACAACACAAACTCGAAGGAGACGGATTCTTCTCAGCTCTATCATCTCTCATCCCAAAAGTAGTCAACATTGTCTCAAACAACAATTCCCTTATTTCTTCTGGAAGGCAAGCTCTTGGATCTGTAGCAAAAGCAGGAATTAAAATAAACGATGCTGTGAAAAAGTCTGATAAATGGAAAGAATTACAGCAAATAAGAGAACTACGAAACAGGAGAATAGAACAACAAGAAAGAAAAGGAAAAGGTTTTAAAATTATTGGATAAAAATGTCAATGATAATTGCTCAAACTCCTAAAACTTATTTCGGTTCTGACATTCAAAAATCATTAGGTTCTCTTCCTGGATTTCCATGGGCAAAATACCCCAGAGAAAAAAATCTTCCAGGTCATAATTATACTGGTCCAGGTACTAGGTTAGATCTGCGATTAGACGAAAACGATAAACCCAAACCAGGTGAAGAACCAGTCAAATGAGTTGACGCCGCTGCGCTTAAACACGACATACTATACAGAAACAAAGACATAACATCCAGACATGAAGCAGACAAACAAATGATAATCGAACTTGAAAATATTCGAAATCCAACTTTGAAAGAGAGAATTCAAAGAGCATTAATCATTAAACTCTTGATAGCAAAGATGAAAATGGGTATGGGATTAGCGGATGAAATTCATAAAAAAATTTAGAAACTTAACTGGTTAATGGCAGGTAACACTGTTTTTTGTTTACTTCAAAGTAAAATACCAACCAGTTCATACACGGTTAGTTTTTCTACAGTATTATTGATTTAATGATTACCTTCAACGCCCGGTAACAATCAGTCGTCTAGACTATTATTGATTGGATATGCGTCACTAAGTAACATATGATTATATTAACATATAACATTCCGCCCATGCCACGTCGACATAGACAGACTAAACTCTCAACTATTAACACTGTCTCAATTTTGTTACGCTGGAAGAATAGGAATTTAATCATACAAAATCAAGGAATGTTCTTTGTTTTAATTTAATCATAAGACTAGAGGGTGGAAATAAGATCAATTTTGTTCTATTCCAGACACAAGTTTAATAGATGTTAACATTTCATATCACGAAGAATATTTAAACCATCGCAGGCAGTGGGGGATACTACCAAACTCTGTGACAAATATCTGAGGTTTCAAAATTGTTGATACAGATTTCGAAAATAGAACAAGTGCTGAAGAACAAGCGTTTTGGAAAAGGATATAATTCATGTGACGTATATCTAGCGATTCTACTAGGAGCGGTTGTAACCCCCTAACCCTTGAACTATGACTACCAATAGTGTAAGAGGGCAGATAACTCTGAAGTATATCTAGCGATTCTAATAGGAGCGGTCGTGACCCTTGAACTAAGGAAGTATATCTAGCGATTCTTATAGGAGCGGTCGTGACCCTTGAACTATGACTGCCAATAGTGTAAGAGGGGAGATAACTCTGAAGTATATCTAGCGATTCTACCAGGAGCGGTCGTAACCCCTTAACCCTTGAACTATGACTACCAATAGTGTAAGAGGGGAGATAACTGAAATATATCTAGCGATTCTAATAGTAGCGGTCGTGACCCTTGAACTAAGGAAGTATATCTAGCGATTCTTATAGGAGCGGTCGTGACCCTTGAACTATGCCAATAGTGTAAGAGGGAAGATAACTCTGAAGTATATCTAGCGATTCTACCAGGAGCGGTCGTAACCCCTTAACCCTTGAACTAGGCTACCAATAGTGTAAGAGGGAAGATAACTCTGAAGTATATCTAGCGATTCTACCAGGAGCGGTCGTAACCCCTGAAACTTTGAACTATGACTGGCAATAGTGTAAGAAGGGAGATAACTCTGAAGTATATCAATGTAATTGTTTTTGTTTTAAATTTCCTTGTATTTATTAAAACTTACTTTGGTTTTTTTGTTATTCTTCCTGCATTTCCATCGGGTAAATGGTTTCAAATAATAGTGTAAAACCTGTCTTTAAAAATGGCAGAAAAAATTACAGATTAGATCCGATCTTTCAATTATATGATCCAATTCGTTATTCGTTTAATAAGAAAAAAGAGGATTACATTTTCATATCACCAACCGTTGGCTCTAGGTCTCAACTAAATGATGGAGGTAGGGTCACTTTCCAGATTAATTCATTATCGAATTGGTTGCTTCTGTCTGATGCCTATTTCAGATGCGATTTCAAAATCAAAGACGGAACTCCCAATGAGAATCGTGTACCACAAACCAACACAACGTTAGAAAACAATTTCTTCCCATCTTCATTTACTGAAATGGTTTTGGAAGCTAGTTCAAATCCCATAGAAACCATCAAACACCCTGGGGAATTTGACACAATGTTGAAAACAGTTCTATATCCCAAAAAAAAGTCACAGGCTTGATACCCGATGTTGGCAATGGAAGTGTTTTAAATGAACCGGTAAGAAATGTTCCAAATGATGCAGATGAAGCTAGAATAAGAGCTATTGCTCGAATCACAATAGAAAGAGTAGGACGAGCAGGTAATCACGGATTTGAAAAACGAGTACTTCAGTACAATAATGTTGTTGAGAATAATAGGTGAGGTAATTTCGTAAATTGGAAATTATATCCATTATTCGGTCTGTTGGAACACAGAAAAGTTTCCATAGGGTTACCATATAAAATTCATCCATTATTCTTTCCATTCATCAGACTTTTACACAGCATCGTTTATTTTAATTCCTGCTTTTGCTACAGATCCAAGAGCTTGCCTTCCAGAAGAAATAAGGGAATTGTTGTTTGAGACAAAGTTGGCTACTTTTGGGATGAGAGATGTTAGAGCTGAGAAGAATCCGTCTCCTTCGAATTTTGTGTTGTTCTGTTACTAAATGAGTTAATTTAAAAATATTATTGGCCTGGGGCGCTTGGGGGTTGGTAAACTGGTACCCCTATAGGCCCCGGGTTTATTAATCGCGTGCTGGTGGGGTTGTTTGTTTGGTGGGCTTGCGGGCTATCTACTAATTAATTTAATCCTTGTTTAACAGTTTTCTTGGTTTCTTCCCCAAATCGTTTTCCAAATTCTTTAACTGTACCTAATATATCTGCCACTCCTGAACCTAACGTCAAAAAGTGATTTTTTTTTTATAAATTATAAAAAGTGCCCCCTATCTACAACCTCTTATATTACTATACTTCAAATGCAAAATTAGAAATAACGAATCTCCAACTTTTCATACCCGTAATAACACCATCAATTGAAGTAGAAACGAGAATATTCAACTCATTAACTAAAGATATTGATATAGCTTTTCTTCATCGTAATATGGTAGGTAGCATGACTTTAACTGGAGAATCCACCACATGGCCAATCACTAACACTATCAAACCAGTAAGATATTTAATGTTTGGTTTCAAGAACTCAGACGAATAACAATAATATCTTTAGAGTAGCAATGAACCAAACTCAAGATCCTTTAATCCATAAAGTTCAAGTAAGATTAAACAACGATAATTATCCTAACCAACCTTTAACAATTAATCCAACCACAAATGATTATAATGAATTGTATAGTAACTATAAAAATATGTGTGAATTATTTGGAAATTCACCTCAAGTTTGAATATGTAGATTTTGCATTTAATCATCCAATCTTCTGTATTGATCTATCAGCTCACCAAGACGATCTTTTCAAAACACGAGTGAACATAAATAGTCATATTGAAAAAACACAAGGAGATGTGACCGGGTATTGTTTACTGCTCGAAGAAGCAAAACATTTAATTAAAATAGCAGATAGAAGAATGATAATCATTGAGTAAAAAATACCCCCTTAAAAATGAAAGTAGAAACTTGAGTTATGAAAATAATAGAAGCCATTGAAACAGCTTCACCAACTGTAATAACTTTCAATGGTACAAAAATCAGCATAACTAAAAAACTTATTGATAAATACAAGTATTGTAAAGGCAGAGACGATATAGATTTAGAAAGAATTGAAGCCAACGCAAAAAGGGTGGATTTTTACTTCTCCTACCTTTGATATTTGGTGATATTGCAGCGGCTGTTGGAATTACAAAAACCGTCATCTCAAATAAAGCAGCTGAAGTAACAGCTGCCCAAGAACGCAGACACAATTTAGAAATGGAAAGTAGTATAAGTGTTCATAGATTGTTCGAAGGGAATTCCCCTTTTCATGGGTTTTCCCCTTTTCATGGGAATTCCCCTTTCTTCATTTCATGGGAAAAATCCAACCAATCTATGAACTCCCAAAAAAACAAGACCTAAATTCCCTATACTTCATAAATTCCCTACATTTCATAAATTCTTACAGCAAAACACCCTACATTTCATAAAACATCCTACATTTTATACACCAAAAACACCTTCAATCAATTTCCATTCCATCAAGAAAAAGCATATTAAAAATACGCTTATATAAAATAACATAACATTTTTAGTAGAAGGGAGATAACTCTTTTTGGATAAAAAAACAAACTAAATTAATTCATTTAAAAATAGGATGAGTTTAATTCTAAAACACGAACAACACAGATTCGAAGATTATTCGGGCGACGGTATCTTTTCTTCATTATGTTCTCTAGGTAAAACAATAATTCCAAAAGTAGCTAGTTTTGTTTCAAAAAATAATCACTCATTTCAAGTGGAGCAAAAGCCATCGGCTAAATCGCGGAAGCGGGAAAGAGTATAAGCGATATAGTGAAACAATCTAACGAGTTGAAAGAATTAGAGCTAATAAGAGAACTTCGAAACAGGAGATTAGAAGAAAGGAAAGGAAAAGGTTTTAAAGTTATCGGATAAAAATGATTGTCGCTTACGCTCCAAAAACTTATTTCGGTTCAGGAGATATACAAAAATCACTGGGTTCTCTTCCTGGATTTCCATGGGCGAAATATCCCGGAGAAAAACATCTCCCAGGTCACAATTATACAGGTCCAGGCAAGGTTAGATCTGCGATTAGACGAAAACGATAAACCCAAACCAGGGGAAGAACCAGTCAATAGAGTCGACGCCGCTGCGCTTAAACATGATATTTTATACAGAAACAAAGACATAAAGTTTAGACACGAAGCAGACAAACAAATGATAATCGAACTTGAAAATATTTCAAATCCAACTTTCAAAGAGAGAATGGAAAGAGCATTAATCATTAAACTGTTAAAAGCAAAGATGAAATTAGGTATGGGATTGGCGGATGAAATTCATAAAGAATTTAGAAAAACTAAAAACTTTTTAAAAGTCAAAGTGTTTGAAAAAGATGAAATATGGTCAGCCGATTTAATTCATATGCCAGTCGAAAGAGGATTTAAATATTGCTTAATAGTTATAGATTTATATACGAGATATGTATGGGTTATTCCTCTTAAAAACAAAACGGGATTATCAGTCAAACACTCATTTGAAACGATTATGAAACAATCTAACCGTCATCCAGAAAAACTGTGGGTAGATAAAGGAAGTGAATTTTATAACAAAAATATGAAATCTCTGGGATTTGAAATTTACAGTACGCATAACGAAGGTAAAGCTGTAGTAATAGAAAGATTTAACAGGACTCTAAAAAATAAATTATTCAAAAAGTTCACGGAATTAAAATCCCAAAAATGGCTTAAAATATTACCAGAGGTTGTAGATGAATACAATAACAAAATTCATTCATCTATAGGTGTCACACCAACACAAGCCTCGAGTAATCCAAATATTATAAAGTCAATTAACGCGCAACATAACTACGAAAATGAAATAAAGAATTTAAATATCAAACCCAAATTTAAAGTCGGAGATCGAGTTCGTATTTTCAAATATAAAAGTAAATTCGAAAAAGGTTACGTTGGATACTGGACGAACGAAATATTTATCGCTGATAAAGTAAATACCACCTCACCTCCAACATATAAATTAATCGATCAAGACAAAGAACAAATCATAGGTAGGTTTTATCAAAACGAACCTCAAAAGACCGACTTTTAAAAATGAATGAATTTCTCGATGAATATGGAACCGATACAACCACAAACTTTCAACTTATGAGATGGGCGAAAGAGTTAAATATATCACCGTTTTATTATTGTATGAGAGATGAAATAAATGACCTGAAATATAAGAAAGGTAAATTTTACGCTATAACAAATATACATACTTCCGATCAAAAAGGAGTTCATCATTCTTCTTTGTACAAAGACTCTGACTTTTATTTCTTCGATTCTTATGGATTAGAACCCACTGAGGAGATAATCCAATTGACTAATAAACCAATCAAATGTTCAACATTTCAAATTCAATTACCAGGTCAACTTTCACTTTGGGTTTTATATCAGTTGAGTTTAGGAAAACAGTTTGAAGAAATTGTAATAAATTTAACTCAATAAAAATGGCGAATAAGTTTGGATTAGGTTCTTTATCTTTAGAATCTAAAAAACCTAACACTACAGCGTGGATAAATAAAGCAAAACCTTACTTTGTGGATCAAATCGGAGACACTCTTCAAGGTGATTTAGATATGAACAATTTTAGCATAACTAATTTAAAGTCTCCGGAAAACGATAATGACGCTGTTCACAAGAAATATTTAATGGAACAATTAAATTCAATTGAAGTAAATAAAAACCATTTAGAAGATAAAATAAATAATGTGAAAAGATTCTTCAAACGTCAACTAAATAATAAAGATTTTATTGATGATACTAAATTACAACAAGAAGTAACAAGTTTAAAAAATTTTATTGAAGAACAATTGGTCAACGTAGCGAATAAAACTGAGTTAATTTCATTAATATCTAAATTAGAGGATAAGATTGCAAAACAAAAATTAGACATTCAACAGGAATTAAATGCTCTGGAAACTAAACTTAACAGTGAATTACAAAAAGAACTAACACATATTAAAAAACAAATACAAAACATCGATGATAGCGAAATCAAAACCTATATTCAACAACAAATACAAAACATAGATGATAGCGAAATCAAAACCTATATTCATCAACAAATACAGAATATTGATGATAGTGTTATTCAACAACAGATAACCACTATTAATAACCTAGTTTTAAAACAGGACAAAAATATACTCGCATTAGAAAAAAAGTTTCTCAAGAAAGAGTCATATTATTTCAATCTTCCATTTGGAAATTTGAGAGATTTCGATGCTTCTATTACTGATAATATTGATAAATCAAAAGACTATGAATATAAAAAATTTGGATTTACAGCAAATATAAGAGTATATAAACAAAGTACTCGTAATCCCTATAGAATGTTTAGCGATGTTTTTCTGCTTTTATTTTCCGAGGAAAACGTATAATTGAAATAACTTTCCCTTTTCAAGTAAAAGTTGATTCAATAGTCTTCAGACAAAACTCACGTAATAAAAAATTTAACGCTCGTAAAGTTCTTCAGTTTATCAATGGTACAAAAAATGTAGAAACTAAAGAATTAGAAATTAACGACGAAAACAACAAGGTTGATCACTTATATGAAATTAAAACGAGTGGAAAATATATAAATAGGTTTAGAATGTTAATCATACCAGATAATGAAGAATATTTTCTTACTTTGAGTCATTTGGATATGTTATTAGAGACGGAAACTCCACCATCAATGAATATTATTAGAAATCCAAAACCACAAAAAGAAGTAATCAGTTATGAGTTTTTACGAACGACAGACTGTGAATACGTAAAACTATATTTTGTTGATAATGGTAAATTTACCTCAATTGATATTCATAAAAGTCAACAAAATAAAGAATTTATAATAAGAGATGATGTATTTGTTAAAATATTTGTCTCTATTGAAAAACTAAAATTTTCAGTTCATCTGAATAAGATTAATGATTCGAAAGAACAAATATCGTTAGTATCTGTAAAAGTTTTTAGTAAAGCAGCTTTATCAGAAGTTCACTTAATTTAATTACCTAAAAATGAAACTCGAAAGTAGACAAAACTACATGGTAGAAAAACAAAACGAACTAAAAGAAAAACTAAAACAATTCAACAAATGCAGAAAAACATGGAGTAAAATCGATTCTGTTTTCAAAACATTAAGTACAGTTTTAACAATAGGGATAACAGTGGCAACAGACGTAACCGGTGGATTAATGCTTCCAATAATTGTCCCAACTGTATTAGCCGCGTTCACTGCCGTTCAAACTTCATCTTGTGGTTTGATTACTTTAGGTTTTACATCAAAACAGAAAGCTCATTATAAAAGGAAAGCAAAAATTTTAAATACATATCTTAATAAATTATTCATTTTTTTGAAAGATCGAGAGAAGATAAGAACATAACCATTGAAGAATTAGAAGAATTCAATGAAATTTTAGATAAATTTGATGTAGAAATATCATCAATGAAAGTTAAAAATTCCTAGTAAAAAATAGTTGCTTTAAAAATATGAATAAAATTGAAATTGTAGACGATAAAAAATTCATATCAGTGAAAATTTTAGACGATATTATTGACAAGATTATCTCTGATGAATTAAAAAATATGAAAAAAATTGATAAATTCATATCAAATGAATTTTTCTCCGATGTTATTGACCTTATCTCTAATGAATTTATAACATTTAAAGGGCAAATTGAAATAGTTGGAGAGATAACTCAAGATGGAAAATACAAACAAGACATGAAATTTGTAGGTTTTAATACCAAAACTTCTATCAATTTCTTCGATGTAGTGGATAAAAAATCAGATGGTATTTCACAGGAAAAATTATTTTCCATAAAAACAATTTCAAAGAAATAAAAAGATCAAAAAAGGGTAGTGGTGTTAGCCTACTCAAAAAGATAAAAGAATATATTGGTATAAATTGTTATATACCGAGCGATGGATGCTGCTTTGTAAAGTGCGTTAATCGTGTTTTAAACGAAGACTATACGAGAGATTTTCAAAATTTCATCAACACTTTTTCAAAATCAAACAGAAAAGGAGTTATGACAACTGCTAGAATCTGCGAATTCAATAAGAAATTTAATACTAATTTTCAAACATTTTCAACCAAAGAAAGTAACCGAAGAATTAGATTGGGTTTTTTATTTACACAAAGAACATTTCTGTTTGATAAGAAGAAATAACAAAACTTTGGGCATTAAAGAAATAGAAGATAATTACGATGAAAACGTATGGAGAACTTGTGAAGATGATAATGCGGTAACGCAAGTTTCACCTCTAAAACTAAACGTTTTTCCAACCATTTCCGATTATTGTTTATACGCATGGGATTGCGAAACTTATTGCGAAAAAGAAACGAATAAAGCCATTCCTTTTTGTTGTACTTTAGTCAATTTGGAAAAACTGAGGAAAAGATTAGATGATTATAATAATTACTTAAGTGATTTAAGTGATTTTAATGAGACTCTAGATTTTAAGCCGTCAGATCCCATTTCAGAAGAATATTACAACATACTCATGACTAATATAGTAGAAATATTTGTAGGTACAGATTGTATAGATCAAATGTTACAACGTTTAGGAAAAGTAGATCAGAAAAGACTAACCTTAATTTCCCATAACGGCAGTGGTTTTGATAACTGGATCATGATCAAAAACGTAAAAAAACTAACACAATGCCTTTTAAAAACAGCTAGAGGAATTCTGTCTCTACCTTTAACTAATTCATTCACTGATGAAGGCCAACCAGCGTTTACCTTCAAACGCAAAGTCTCTGAGTTGGATAGTTTTATCCGTCCAGCAATGTAAACATCAGCTGTCGACGCGAATATTAGATCCCTCAATCGGACATGGCTCTGTAAGGTTACGCAGGTCCTGATCGACCATTACCAAACCACACTTCAAGAGAAGCTGACCACCATTCGTACCAAGTCTTTATCATCACCTGCCGTCGACCGCATCGTTTCTCATGCCCTGTCCTGGGCCCGTCGCTCCTATGGGAAACGTCTCACTCAAGCTGTAATTTCCAAATTCTACCAAACAATCAACGAAACAAAAACCAGAGTAACCATATCTCTACCAACTGAAATGGACACTACACCTGCACCATCTAGAGCTACCACGCTGCCGAACCAAACCCCTAAACGAGCCCGAAGTTCACCTACTCCTAGTCCAGCAGACATAGGTAAACGCTCTCGTAGAGAGGGCACACCCCTTCTCTTTTCACTTTCAGACTCGTCTTCCCCTTCCACACCATCTGAATCTTCACCACGTGATCCAGGATCCGCCAACCTTTCTTCCTTCTGTGCGTTTTTGGACCAGCAAACCACCCCTCAGTCTCCATCTACCAAACCAGTACCAATCACACCGTCGACGACCATTATATCCGCTACCAAACCGTATTATCACCAAACCAAGGACAAATCATTATGGAACTACCTGCTCTAAAGAAATCAACCTTAATAATTGGATCATCTAACCTGAATCGAATTACCAAAACCAGTTCGGACACCGAAATACATTCTTACCCCGGTGCCCAAATCCATCACATACAGTCAATCCTGGAATCATACGACCATGATCCCAAACCTACTACCATTATTCTTCATGTAGGCCTCAACAACCGTGATCAGATACCAAAGACCTCCTTTAACCAAGCCCAGAAATTAATCGCCACAGCCAACAAAACCTTCCCAAACTCCAAGATCCTCTTCACATGTATACCCATTTCAAATAAAATCTCGAAGAAAGCACAACAGAACCTCAGCACCCTCAACAACATGATGATGGAGTCCAGTATCAACAGCGCAACAATCTTACCACCCTACGAAGAAGAATTCGAAACAGTTGATAATCTTCATTGGTCTCCAGAAACAGCAAACAGCATTTATTTGTTTTGGATACACCAGCTTCAAGCATCGAGTAAGTCTTTAAACTAATTACTGGGGATAAAAATACTGAGAGGCCACCGCTAGGCCAAACTG